ACGGACAAGACTGAATCAATTATAAGTTGGCTCCCGTCAGTGTCGAAAAACAGATTACAGACTTTCTTGTAGAATACGTTAATGGAGGTTTTTGTCTAACTATTGCTACTATAGCAGCTCCGCTTCCTGAAACCAGTACCAAGTCCACTATTGTGAAATGGAATGAAAAGGCAGTGAGAGTTTTTGAGGACCTGAAGGCAGTATTGTGTAATGAACCCCAAACTTTAGTTAAGAATTTCTACAAACAGATGCCTCTGATGGTGGCCTGGGAGATGTCTTGTAAAGGGAAATAATGTGGAAGAGCTTCCAGTTGCATACCTCAGCCAGACACTAACCCCTGCGCTATTCAACGGTGGAAAGCGAATGCCTGGCCATAAAATGTGCACTGGAATCAAAGAAGTATTACCTTTTGGACAGTCAGTACCGACTGATTATTAGTGCAAGGGAACACAAGATGTTAATATTTTATGTAGGACACAGGCCAGGGACAGAAAGGGAATGCTGATGAACTGTCACATGTCCACTGTATGTTGGTATGTGTCAAACACGCTCTGCACTACAAGTTGGGCATTAAAACTTAAAAAACACACATACAAATGCAACAAAAAAGCCTATAAATCGCCCGGCTACAATAATGCTCAGCCCAAAAACGGTACATGTGTAGTTTGTTTAAAGAACCCAGCAGGGGGCACCCTGTTAATCAGGAACTGATTTGAGTTTAGATAGTTCATGTTTTATTTTATGCTATGGAGATATTGTACAAAGCCTTCCTCCAAAACGGTTTGTTTGCTGCCTTGCTGAATAAAAGTGCGTAACAAACCTGCTTGGATTGATCCCGGGTGTTCCTGTCTCATGCCAATACCAGCTGAGCCTTCCCCCTTACAATATATTATATAGATGTGCATATACACTGAGAAAAAAGGAATGAAGTCAAGGAAAAACTAGGTTTCTGCTTACTGCTGGGTACATACTGTTCTTCCTCTCGAACGGTACTCCTCCCTGGAATCATTTTTATACTGATTAAGCAACTTCACACTTGAACTACAAACTTACAGTAAACTGCAAAGGTTTAGACATATGACAGCTCCGGCTGGAGAAAGTAAACAAACAGTTGGGTATTTGCACCAATTAGGAAGTTTAGTTCACGGCTGACTAGCATATAGAAGACTGGCTTTAGACAAATAGGACTCAGAGCATGCACACACATAGGAGGTGTATCTATAAACAGTTTGCTGGGCGAATGGCCCTGAACATTTGTACTGTGCAAATGCAGCCCAAAACGAACATGGTACATGGTGCTTTTTTTCCGATTCAAATGCACTATAGGTAAAATTCTGCATCATGGCCACTAAATGAAAAGCAGAAATAGAAATAACATAGAGTAGAAAAGAAGTATTCATTTCCTATGCTCCTCAGCTCCATCTAGTGGCCATAATACAGTATTTTACATATTGTGCATTCAAAACTTGAAAAAATTTTACTGAGAAGGTTGGTTTTGGACCTCATTTGCATAGAACAAACATTCAGGGTGTTTGCCATAATGCGGTATTGCATGATGAAATTCGATAATAAAGATAAAGAAATTATACTAAGAACGCATCCATTCGCACTGAATGAACATTCACAGAGATTTGCAGGGTGAATGCAAATTATTGTGAATAGACCCCACAGTGTAGCATGGTGTCTGAAAAATGTGTTGGGCCAGCAAGTGAAGGGGTAGAGAACCCTAAATCTTCACCTTATGTTATTTACAAACCATGCACTGAGGCTGGTTTTACTGGGAAGATATCTGGCAGGGATGGAATCCCAAACCCATGGACCATGTTTTGTTTTTTTTCCCACATATCACTTGGTCACTACAGCTGGTCCAAGCTGTCGGTGTTCAGTCTCGTGTTTCAGCACAGAGACAGACAAGCTGGGCTTTAAGGCCGCTGCACCAAGACTGTCAGGGCAATAAGAATCTGTCTACAAACTGCTGCCATTCCCAGAGCGGACATTTACCCGGGGCAAGGGACCTTTTCCAGTATCTGCAGTTGAGCAGAAGTTTACTTTATCATTTCTACTATTACCTTTGGCTGGATGCCTGATTGCATTGCTACTTTATGTTGGAATAAAAAGCTTGTTTTTGAAAATGGACTTTGTCCTTTTGAGCTCAATCCCCCACAATAGATATGCACAGTACAGTATGTACAGTACATTCGTTGAATAGGTAGCTCCCTAAAGACCTGTGAGCATGAATGTATAGACAATAGAGTTCAGTATGCTTGAAAAGACGGCTAATCACACAAGAAAGCTCCCACTGCTTTAGTACCAGAGCAACTTTGCTCATTGCCTTTCACACATAAGTCTCCCGTGCCAACTGTACAAACAGCAAGTGAAACCATTCAAACCGGTGTGCTGAACAGGAACTAACATTGCCATAGTAACAAAGCCACAGTTGCTTCCTCCTTCCCGTCTGCACAATTGGTGATGTAATTTGACTTTAAGCAAATCCATGGGGCTCTGGGAACTTACATAGATCACCAGGGACATACAGCAGTAGCTAACACCAACTGGTAATTGCAGGCATGCTGGTCTTCACACCTAGAACCATGGACAGAGGCCACCATCTGGAGTACGCGGTCCAGTTTTGGTCACCAGTACTCAGAAACGATGTTCTTGAGCTGGAGAGAGTCCAGCGGAGGGCAACCAAACTAATTAGGAGAATGGAGGACCAGAGCTATGAGACACGGCTACTAAATTTAAACATGTTCACGTTGGAAGTAAGGAGATTAAGGGGGGATATGATTTTCATGTACAAGATGTTCAATGGTGACAGCAACATTAGCAACAAACTCTTTAAGATTAACCCCATTACAAAAACTAGAGGCCACCACCTGAAATTGGTGGAAAAAAACTCCAGCACAAGGGGCGAAGGGGGTTCTTCACAGTAAGAGCGGTTAGGGTCTTGAACGCACTGCCACCGGCGGTGATTTCAGCTAAGAGTGTCGAATTGTTCAAGAAACTTTTTGACGATTTCCTGAGGGACCGTAATATACAGGGGTACAAGTACTCCCAAGAAGGAGATGATACATGGACCTATATACATCAGCAATAGGTTGGACTTGATGGACTTATGTCTTTATTCAACCTCAAATACTATGTAACCTTGGTTCTGCCCCTAACCTGTCATGTTCTCCTTGGGTAAGTCAAACCAGATCACAAAGATATTTTTAAAAAATACAAACCGATGAAGATGAGCAGAATTCCCACCACAACCTGGAAGATGAAAGATATGGAGAGTAGAACAATAAGGGGTACATAGTACGAGAATGAGGGTCCTTCTTCGATGACAGCTTTCAGCTGTGATGCATTGGCCATCAGCAGAGCGATATCCAGCATGCTTTCTGCAGCACTCTTCTTATTGGCATAATGATTCATATTCAGGTTTCGTCCCCTTTCATACATAACCTGCAACACAAAGACAGAGACTTGGCATGAGAGAGGTGCATTCCATTCACATACATTGGCTGTAGCAGAACTCTCCGCACATCACTGTGCACTGAATGTCTGCAGTATCAAACCTCGCTGGTTATTGTAATTCAGTCTTCAAGGTTTCCATCATGACAATGACTTATTTCAAGTGAAAGGGAGGCTAGAACAAAAACACATATTAACCCTTTTGTGACCAGAGTCTTCTGAAGCTTAGAGGCTTAGCACAAGTTTAACACTGTTGGTATGCATCAGAGGGTTATGAGGTGTAAGGAGGAAGGGGGCTGTGCTAGGGAATTGACTCTTTCTGAAGTAGTCAAATTTTCTAGGAAATTCCGAGACACATTGCCAGTTCATTAAAAAACCATTCATGGGAAGGAAAATGCTGCAAGTAAGCTTTTACATTGCAATTTTTTAAACCACCTGACTTCTGTCTCTGTTACTCAATGCCTGTGTTCCCATTCACATAAGGAGGGGTTTTCATTTGTTGTATTTTTACATACTTTTTACTTTGCTTATGGAGAACACACACATGTGGATGAGAAAAGCTTAGATTTCCAGGCTAACAGGAACATAGTCAAGGAGATTTCAATACATGTAAGAAGTTAAAAGCTGGCTCAGTCCAGCAGGCTCCACCTATTACACCTTGTTCCGACAAGTGGCAAGGGGGGGGGGTTAAAACAGGCGCTTGATCTGCATTTTTACTGCCCCCAGATGCCCACTTACAAGCTGAAATAAAGGTTGCTCATGCTTGTATACATGTTTTATACAAATTTTAAACACCATGTCGGGGTTTGGCAGGCAGTGCCATTTGCCAAACTCGACCATTGCAATAGAACCACAACCCCGTGGGTACAACGTTGCAGCACGCTACTGATAACAAAAACAAAACAACAACAAAAAGTTTCACAGGAAATGGGAGGGTCGCCTCCTGAACTCGGGGCAACCCCTGTTCTGGCAGCTAACGCCCTCTGAAAAGCAATGCACCGTGGAAGGGTGATGGAACCTAACACCCGTCTGAATGAAGCCTTACGAAAATTTCACTTTTGGGTAGTCAGGCCCATTAACCCCTTCGTGACTGACGACGTACAGTGTACGTCGCCAGCATCGGGGCTGTTTAAACAGACTCCCGGCGACTTTTGCCGCCGGGACTCTGTTTAAACTTGTAGAGCCGACTGTCGGCTTTACAACAGAAGCGATCCTGAGCAACATAAACATTTTCAACTACCACCATTTTATTCTATAGGGTCTTGGCATTCAGAAAATATATAATGTTGGGGGGTTTTACGTCATTTTCAGGCCTAAAATGTGGAATATAACATGGGTGCAAAAATGGAAAAAAAGGGCCTCAGTCATGAAGGGGTTAATATATATCCAAGATGAACATAACGATTTGGCTAATGAACTTTTTTTTAAAATCTCAATAACTGTCCTAGGGCAAGAGGACAAAAGCTGTATATAAAAGAAAGAACAATGGCACGTGAATAATTATTCTACCCTGATAATAAATAATTATCAATTATTGATTTGATAAACTTATCAAATATATCAAGACACATTATCCACACATTAAGGTGCCTAATTAAGCATGGTTTTCACCCAAGATGCAAACATTTTTCTAATTGGATTCAATTGGAAAAATGTATGAATGCTGGGTTTACATTTTTATGAATGGACCCCCCAAGTATCATTCGCTGTTTCTGCAGAGGTGCATTTTGCTTTATTCCTTGCTGAGAAGACCTGAGCAGTGTCCTATAAAACAGCACAACGTTTGACCTACTGCTCTCCAGCATGAATGCTTACGTTTTGGAAATTGATATAAAAATGGTGCAGCCAAATGCGGAATGATTTAACATGGTCGTGTAAAACAGACACAGCTGCACAAAGACAGTGTACAGAAGCCAATACTAGGATGAGCTGGCAAGTCCTAATGTCTGACCGCTGTTGGAATGTCACTAGTAAAGTTTAAAATAGAAGATTGTGTCAGCACAGGATGTAATGTTTTTCCAAGACGACTGAGCTGATTTGGGAAAATGGATGAAAAATTTAGAGATTGTCACTTACTACCAGCAGTCAATGAACAGATAAAAAATGTAAGTAAACCCCAATGATGACGTTCAATTATTTGCTCCCCTTTGGTCTGTAAAATATATAATTAAAAAGCAATTTTGTTATATATATATATATATATAAAACAAAATTGCTTTTAATATATATATATATATTTTAGGGATGCACAGATACCGGTATTTTGGTACCAACAGGGAAGCCGGCTCCATGCTCCCTCGTCATGAATTGACGAGGGAGCATGAAGCCGGCTTCCCGGCCAATCAGAATGCCAGGCGCTGCGTCATTACACGGCGCCCGGCTTCCTGATTGGCCAGCTTCCCGACCAATCAGGAAACTGGGCAGCGTTTAATGACGCTAGTGTTGCAGTATGTACACACAGTGCTCGGCTCACTTTTAAACAGTATCATTTTTACAACAAAAAATACCCATTATCATTAAGGCCAGATTCACACTTGGGCAATCCGAGGCCACGCAGCAATCATACACAAAACCGTGCAGATGGCCAGGTAGTCACGGAATCGCCCACCACCGCTGACCACGCTGGTGGTGCCATTAATGTCTAATGGCAACTGAGTCACACCAGACTAGATTGCGTGGTTTCTTGCTGCAATTACGATCGTGGTAAAAAAAAATGTGCAGTGCCATTGGCGTGTGAATGTAACCCTAGTGAAATCAATGGAGCCACGCAGCATCTGCTGCGTGCAACCGCACAAATCTGCGCCAGCCCTAAAAATCAGTCCTTGAGTTCCTATCTAGTGACTCTGCCTAGACCGAGATGATGTCTTCAGTCTGCTGCAGGAATAAGCATTTCCTCAGTCTCTTCCTCCTCAATGATCAGACTGCAACACTGTAAAGCTGGCCATGCAATGTTCTATTTTTTTCGTTCAACCTGTGGGCTGAACGGAAAAAAAAATAGAACAGATTCCTCCATCAACGCTTACGAACATTGATCGAGGAACCTCCCGCTGTTTGCATTGTATTCTGAAAGCGGCCGCTGCCAGGATACCTGTACAGAGCTGGCAGCTCATTGGTTTCCGGCTCTCTTTGTTCAAAGATTTTCCAACCGGATCCTTCGATCCGCTGATCCAGAGATGTTGGCCAAAAGGCTACTGACATGGGCACCAACAGTGTGAAATTTGCATAATGTAAGTCCTGCTTAACTTTGTATTAAGTCATAAGGTTAGAGGTTGTGTCAGACATTTGGCAACGCAACAAAAAACTGCACAGACAACGGGATTGACATGCCTGTTATCTCTGAGCTGGCGTATCAGTTTAGGAAGTAGAAATGGACCCTGACTGATCCTTATGCAAGGATGTCACCATCTTTTTAGCAAGAAAGCAGAAGAAGCTGTTGTCAGAGGGTGTACTGCGAAATAATAAATGCGTCACAATTAAACAATATTAAAGAACTCCGGGCAGAAGAATAATATGTAACCCTTGCAGCGGGGCTGTCCATGCACTTGTACATGACCTTAACATACAGTATAAAAAATATCTGCTAGGTCTACTTTATAGTTTCAATTTAAGATCATGTCAGGCTTTAGTGAATTGGACACAGTGATGTTGATTTACAAAAGAACAGACTGTTCCCTTAGCAAGTGGATTTTCACCATACTTCGTAAACAAGGTGATGTTGCGTTGACTTTAAATAGCCAATCATGTGCAATGGAATTTAAAAAAATGCTTGCAATGTGATTGGATGATTGATGTCAACCTTCACATTTTTCTTTTTTGTTTACTAAGCTCAGTGAACTTTCATTTTGCTAAGAGAACAATTTCTATTCATTTGGTAAATAAACACCATTGTGATAGAAAAATGGATCAAAGTGGAGGACAATGCACCACGTTGTCAATGGAAGCACACATTCCGTGGCCCCTTCACAGAGCGCTCTCTACAGCTACTAAGTGGATAAAAATAGCTTCTGAGTTCAACATTCGTCTTTTTCTGTTTGTCTCTGTGACAATGGCCACAACACTAGAGCTGACAATTGGATTTATACAAATCAACTGTGCTAAATCCAGTAACCAATCAGAGCTGACTTTACTGCAGTCAATATACTACTACTGTATATGATAGATTCTGATTGGCATACCTAGCATATCTGACACTCAGGGCAAATAATATTTTTTACATCTCCCCATACATTAGAATTATTTTCAGTCATAATCCTTGAATTAAACGTCATGCATGCTGGAGATGGGAGCAGAAGTGGCTGGTGGCGGGAGGACAGCAGCAGCTGTAAGTATCATTGCAACTTTATGTAGAGACTGAACTGAGCATATCAATCCCCCTGACATGCAAGAGCTCAGCGACAATATCTTTTGCAGAGCGGCCAACATCTGAATGATTTAGGAGGGATGCCTTGAAGGGATCACCTGGAGGTGTGGCCAAGAAATTGGGTGTTCTTCACGTTGTATGGCTTGTAGTGTGGAAGGAAATAAGCCCCAATATTTGTTTCAGTGGCAGAAATAGTAACCCCCAGCACTGGTGTAAGTGGTCATAATAATAATACCCCATCCATCAGTGATCGATGGCAGTAATGCAAATCCCCCCCTCCGGCATTGGTGTTCAGTGGCTGGCCAGAATAATAATCCTCCTACACACTGGTGGTCAATGGCCAGCTAGAACAAACCCCCCCCCCATGCATTGATGGTCAGTGGCTGGCTGTAACAATAACCCCTCCCAGCATTGATGGTCAGTGGCCGGCTGTAACAATAACCCCTCCCAGCATCGATGGTCAGTGGCCGGCTGTAACAATAACACCTCCCAGCATTGATGGTCAGTGACCGGCTGTAAAAATAACCCCTCCCAGCATTGATGGTCAGTGGCCAGCTGTAACAATAACCCCTCCCAGCATTGATGGTCAGTGGCTGGCCAAAGCACAATATCCCCCCCAGCACATGCTCCC